TGTAGAGATGGGGTTTCACCATGTTGACCAGGATGGTCTCGATCTCTTGACCTCGTGATCCACCCACCTCGGCCTCCCAAAGTGCTGGGATTACAGGCTTGAGCCACCGCGCCCGGCCAACTTTTGGATTTTTCTAGACGGAGTTTTGCTCTTGTTGCCCAGGCTGGAGTATAATGGCGTGATCTCAGTTCACCACAATCTCCACCTCCAGGGTTCAAATGATTCTCCTGCCTCAGCCTCCCGAGTAGCTGGACTTACAGGCGTGCACCACCACACCCAGCTAATTTTGTATTTTTAGTAGAGACGGCGTGTCTCCATGTTGGTCAGGCTGGTCTTGAATTCTGCACTTCAGGTGATCCACCGGCCTCGACTTCAGGTGACCTGCCTCTGCCTCCCAAAGTGTTTGGATTACAGGCGTGAGCCACCATGCCCGGCCTTAATTTTTAATTGTGGTAAAATACACATAGCATAAGATGCGTCATCTTAAGCCTGGCAAAGTGCAGCTTAGTGGCCCCAAATACATTCACCTTGTGTGGCGACCGCCTCCCTCCGTCCACAGGGCTCTCCGTCCCCAAAACCGAAGCTCTGTCTCCATCAAACACACACTCCCGCCCCTCCCAGCCCCCGGCTCCCTCACTCTCCTTCCTGTCTCTGTGGCTTTGGTGACTCCGGGGACCTCGTGTAAGTGAGGTCCTGCAGGCTTTGTCCTTTGGTGACGGCTCGTGTCACTGAGCCTCTCGTCCTGGGGTTCCTCCCTGTGGCGGTGACTGTCAGGATCTCCTTCCTTCTCAGGGTGCAGTCATGCTCCGAGGTGGACAGACCGCTTCTGCTCGTCCATCCCCCACTGTGAACTCAAGCACTGCCCACCGCTGGGCCGTTGTGAACGTCGGTGTCTCAATCTGCGTCTTTTTTTTTTTTTTTTTTTGAGACAGGGTCTCGCTTTGCCACCCAGGCTGGAGCTGGTGTGCAATCACAGCTCACTGCAGCTTCCACCTCCTGGGTTCAATCGGTCCTCCTGCCTCAGCCTCCCAAGTAGCTGGGACTACCGGTGTGAGTCACCATGCCCGGCTAATGCTAGTATTTTTAGTAGAGATGAGGTTTCACCATGTTGCCCAGGCTGGTTTCCAGCTCCTGGGCTCAAGCGATCCACCTGCCTCAGCCTCCCAGAAAGCTGGGATTACAGGGTGAGCCACTGTGCCCAGCTAATTTTTGTATTTTTGTAGAGCCAGGATTTCACTCTGTTGCCCAGGGTGGTCTCAAACTCCTGGGCTCAAGCGATCCACCTGCATTAGCCTCCCAGAGGGCTGGGATTGCAGGCGTGAGCCCCTGCACCTCGGACCTGCGTCTCTTAAAGGCTTCCTGGATGTGGCTGGGTTGGGGTCCGGCAGCCCCGTTCTCCAAACCTGGTTCTCCCTGCTGGCCTGGTCCGGCCGGGACTTCCCAGCAGTTTGCATTACAGTGGGGATAATATGGGCAGCAGTGCTCCTGGTGGGCGCTGCTCACCTGCCTTGTGCAGAGGCGACAGTTACAAAATGAGGTCAGGACAGGAAGGTTTGTAAAAATGTCTTCGCTCAGCAAAGGAAAGAATCGGCCACCTGGTGGTCCCCTGGTTTTGACATTTATTTGTACCTGCCCCCACCTCCACCCCCTGCAGCCCCTGGTGTGTGACCCTGGAGAGGCAGAGCCAGGAGGGGGGTGTCACTGAGCTGGGGGTGGTTCTAGAAGATGGGGGCACCAGCTGGCCAAGGGGGTGGCAGGCAAAGACGGGTGGACCCGGAGGCCCCTTCTGTGGGGAGTGGGGGCGCCCCGAGGGCGGTCCTCACGTGGCCCCTTCCCCCACAGGGCCGGCTCCCGGGCCTGAGGGTCAGGTGCGTCTTCCTGGCCTGGCTGGGCGTGTTTGCGGGCAGCTGGTTGGTGTACACGCGCTACTCGTCCTACTCGGAGCTCTGTCGCGGCCACGTCTGCCAGGCGGTCATTGTAAGTGTCACTGTGTGGGCTGGGGACTGGGCTGTGCCCCCTTGCTGCTCAACATGCTGGGGCACCAGGCCCTGCAGACACCTTCCTTCCCGACCCAGGGCCCATGAGGCGTGTGGGTTTCCAGGTGGAATCTGCGAACCTGCCCCTGGCTGGGTGTGGAGGACAGGGCCCAGGGGAGACATGGGGGGGCTGCCTCAGCACGGGGAGGAGGATGGGGTTCCAGCGGAGGATGGGGGAGACATGGGGGCTGGGGGCAGACAGCAGGGCAGACTCCCGAAACGTTTGAGAGAGAGGCTGCTTAGCAGGAAGCCTGGGGTGGGTGGGCAGCTGGCCTTGCTGGCCGGGATGGAGGCCCCCGTACGCTGGCCTCAGTGGCCTTTCTAGCTCCCCTGGGACCAGGGGTCTCCAAGGCTGGTGGCAGGGCGGTGTCCTCCACAGCGTCCCCCTCAGGGAGACAGGGCTAAGTCCCCTGGCGTGTGTGAGCATGTGTGTGTCTGGGAGCCAGCGAGGCCACGAGTCCACACCAAGGTGACCCCCGGGCTCCTCTTTCCATGTCCTGTGACTAGCTGGAGGGGAGCTCCAGCTCCACCTTCCTGGCAGACCCTGGACTCGCCCAGAGCTAGGCAGCTCCCCCAGGGCATTTTGACCCCGGCCTGGCCAATGACCAGGGTTCCGAAGCTCTGTTCCCCTTGGGGCTGGGCCTGGGCAGAGAAGGGCCTGCCCTGTAGCAGCAGCTGCTATGGGTCATGGAAGAGGGGATTGGGCGCAGGGAGACCCCAGGTTCAGCGCCCCCTCTGTCAGATGGGGAGGGGCCTCTCCTGGCAGCTGGGTGGTGGATGAAGCCAGGTGGCCGTGGACAAACCTGTGCCCCACAGAGCTGTGTATGATAGGGGCTACATGTGGAAAGGCCCAGAGGTGGCAGGAGGGAGTGGGGTATGGGGTCTTCTGTGCCCAGGACTTGTATGGAACCCATGCCAGCCCATGGGAGGGCTCCAGGCCCCTGGCACTAGGCCTTGCTCACCCTCGAAGTCCAGGGGGCCTCTAGGCTCAGCGTGGCATGGGGTGGTACATTGGGCTTATCCTGGGGCCATGGGTGGGGAAGGCTGCACCCTGAGTCGTGCACCCTGGGGACTCCCGGAAGGACAGGAGGTGGAGGGGCTGAACCTCCAGGCTGGGGTGGGAGGGGGGCGGCGGGTGGGAGTGGGCAGAGGATTCACATTGCCAGGAGGGTTCCGAGTATCCACTACGGGGTGCCTGGCTGCAGAGGCTGCTGAGGAGCAGGAGGTGTCCCCCAAACAACAGGAAGCTGCAGCCTCAGTTTCCCAGGGCGCCCTGGCCCTTCGCACAGCGGCCTCTCCATGGCTGCTCATAGCCTTCCCAGAGGTCAGGCCAAGCCCAGCTCTCCCAAAGCTACCTCGGGACCATGGAGACATCCCCTCCTTTCCAGAGGAGGCTACTGCCTTGCCTCATGGGGGCATTGGACGCCTCAGAGAGGCGCAGAGGCTGGCCCCAGCTCACACATCGAGGTGGCATTAGTGCGGGGCCAGTCCCGGGTTCCACCAGGGCCCTCGAGAGGCCAAGAACTGCACTGAGTCCCACCGGGCCCTGCTGCAGACAGGAGACAGGCTGGGTGAAGAGGGACTGGCTGGGGAGCGATGTGCGGGGTTCGGGTGCCCGAGGAGGCCAAGCACACCCTCCCCGACCCTGCCTCAGCCTTTGAGGAAGCCCCTTCCCACCCTGCCAGGTGCAGGGAGGCACCCAGGACCGAGGGGCAGCCCCATCTCCCCACCCCTGGGGGACCCTGGAGCCCCAGTCCTAGCCTGGCAGAGGGCAGCCTGTGCCAGGAGCAGAGTCTCCTGCCGGTCTGGGGCTCCGAGCGCAGGGGGCTGTCTGGGGACGGGAGGGACCTTGCCGTGAAGGGCCTGCCTGCAAGGTGGAGGGCTGGACCAGTGCACGTTCCCATCATCCTCCTTTTCCGTCTGGATGAAGAGACGGCGTTTCTGTGCTGCTGGCACAGACGCTGCCTTCACGACTCACGTGGGGGGTCCTTGGCCTCCAGTTGGCCCATCTCACTTCTGTCCCCATCCCTGGGGTACCCGGCGTGGGGGATGGAGGAATTGGGGGGGGTGGGGGAGGCAGGAGACCCTCCGTCCTCCCCAGCCCTGGAGGGTGGGATGTTCTGAAGCTCCCTTCCCGGCTCCCTCCAAGCCTGCTCGGCCAGGCTCCATGGCAACGGAGGCTGTACATCCAGAAATTCTCCCCCGCCCGCAGAGGGGTGGGCCAGCTCCGTGCTCTGTTGCCTCCCGTGAGGCGCTGGGATTCAGGGGCTGCCAGGCTCCCGGAGCTGGGCTGGGGACTGGGAAGCGGCAGCAGCCAGCCCCAGTCCTGATTTAATTACCACTAAGTGTCTCCTTGGGGTTGTGGCTAAGGAGGGGGCCTGTGGGACCAGGAAGGGCGGGCCGGGGAGTCACTGTGGGGCCCCGGGGGTCCATTTCTAAGCCTTGACAAACAGTTCTGATAACAGCCATGGCGCTTGAGCCTGGGCATTGGCCACGTGGGGCTGGGAGAGGAGGCGGAGGTCGGGGCTCCAGTCATCACGATAGAAACCAAGTTCAGAGATTCTTCGCTGACTGACCCGGGCAGAGGGCGTCCCCCGAGAGGAATGAAGAGTCAGGCAGGGAGAGCGCAGTTGCAGCTGGTGGTGTAGACACGGGACAGGGTGAATCTGGTTCACCAGCCAATGCCTGGATGGTCCAGAGAGCCGGGGCTGCTGGCGGGAGAGCTGCCTCCAGGTTCTTGCCTCCGGCCCTGGCCCAGCTTGGCCACTGGGTGTGGTGTTGTCTCATGTCCAGGCCGTGGCCTTGACTTTGCTGTCATTACAGGATCCAGGATGGTGGGGACGGGACGGGACCAGACCGGGGGTCGGTGGGGCTGCCCCTGCAGCCAACAGGCCCACCCTGCAGCCGCCGATGGCGTGCGCCAGGGCCCAGCACTGCCTGTGTGAGGGGCTGGCAGCTTGTAAACTGCAGCAAGTGGAGGCCCCTGCCAGCTGGTGGGTGCTGGGCCCGCAGCGTGGCTCAGGGATGGGCGTGGGCTGGAGGCAGCCCAGTCGCCAGCTCTGGCAGTTTGGGGGTCTGAGAAAAGATGGCCGAAGAACAGGGACCCAGTGGGTGCTGAGGCAGTGACCACGGTGATGGGGGCTTGGCCCTCCATGCCCCCTTCCCACCCACCTGGCCCTGCCCGTGGTCCCTCCCCCCCAGGGGTCCCAGAGGAATGGGTGCAGCTGGGCTTCAGATGTGTGGGGAGAGGCTCGGCAGGGCAGGGGGTGTGGCTGGCACCCCCACACTCTGCACTTGTCCCCTCAGTGGGGAGGTGCTCAGCAGGGCAGAGGTGTGACCGCCTCCTCTCCACACCCTGTATCTGTCCCCTCAGTGCGGAGGAGCTCAGCAGGGCGGAGGTGTGATAGCCCCCTCCAAACACCCTGCACCTGTTCCCTCAGTGGGGAAGCGCTCAGCAGGGCACAGGTGTGACCGCCTCCCCCCGACACCCTGTATCTGTCCCCTCAGTGCGGAGGGGCTCAGCAGGGCGGAGGTGTGATAGCCCCCTCCAAACACCCTGCACCTGTTCCCTCAGTGGGGAGGCGCTCAGCAGGGCACAGGTGTGACCGCCTCCCCCCGACACCCTGTATCTGTCCCCTCAGTGTGGAGGGGCCCAGCAGGGCGGAGGTGTGACTGCCCGCCCCGTGCACACACACCCTGCACCTGTCCCCTCAGTGTGACCAGTACCACAAGGGCATCATCTCGGGCTCCATCTGCCAGGACCTGTGTGAGCTGCATCTGGTGGAGTGGAGGACCTGCCTCTCGGTGACCCCCGGCCAACAGGTATGGCCTCGGGCGCGGAGCGGGGCCTGGGGCTGATGCGCCCGTGCAGGGGGAGGGTGATGTCTGCACGGAGGTCCTGTGGCCCTGTCCAGGTATACAGTGGGCTCTGGCGAGACAAGGATGTGACCATCAAGTGTGGCATCGAGGAGGCGCTGGACTCCAAGGCCCAGACGGACGCGGCCCCCCGGCGGGAGCTGGTGCTGTTCGACAAGCCCACGCGAGGCACCTCCATCAAGGAGTTTCGGGAGATGACACTCGGCTTCCTCAAGGTCAGGCAGCTCTCCTGGGGGGCTGGGCAGGAATCCGCACCAGGGCATGTGCCCAGCAGGCGGCCCTGGTACCAGCATGCCCAGTGCAAAGGCATAGATGGGTCAAGTGGGCCCCAGGCAGACCTTCCAGCCCCCAGCCCCTGGGCAGGGGCCCTGCAGGGAAGGAGCCTCTCCAGGGCTGGGGGCAGGGGTTGGGGGGACCGGCAAGTTGGCAGTTGAGGCCCTGAGGTCAAGAGGAGGCTCCTGCAGTCCAGGGCCACGGGTCTAGCACAGCAGGTGCCCCAAGTAGAGACCAGGGCGTGCGGAGAGGGGCTGCCTCCCCGGGCTTCAGCCAGCGCATGCCCTCTGGCTGCCGATTCTCATCCTGGGAAGCGCTGAGGCTTCTCTCCCCAGGTGCCCAACCCCAAGCACCCCAGCTGCACCCAAGGCTGCCGGGAGGTCTGTCTGGCAGCCGCAGCACAGGCCAGAGGGTGAGTGGGCACATCGCTGCTGCCTCCTCCACCCGTGTGGCTGCCGGCTGGGACCCGTGACCAGGCAGATGTGATGGTCTGGCCTGCAACCCGCTCTGCCGGGAGGACTGGGGCAAGACCAGGTCATGCTCCCAGACACCAAGTCAACGGGTTTTCCTTTCTTTTGGTCCCAAATGCCAGGCGAACCTGGGCGACCTGCCTTCCCTGCCGGCGCTGGTGGGCCAGGTCCTGCTCATGGCCGACTTCAACAAGGACAACCGGGTGTCACTGGCGGAAGCCAAGTCCGTGTGGGCCCTGCTGCAGCGTAACGAGTTCCTGCTGCTGCTGTCCCTGCAGGAGAAGGAGCACGCCTCCCGACTGCTGGGCTACTGCGGGGACCTCTACCTCACCGAGGGCGTGCCCCACGGTGCCTGGCACGCGGCCGCCCTGCCCCCCCTGCTGCGCCCGCTGCTGCCGCCGGCACTGCAGGGTGCCCTCCAGCAGTGGCTGGGGCCCGCATGGCCGTGGCGGGCCAAGATCGCCATCGGCCTGCTGGAGTTTGTGGAGGAGCTCTTCCACGGCGCCTACGGGACCTTCTACATGTGCGAGACCACGCTGGCCAACGTGGGCTACACGGCCACCTACGACTTCAAGATGGCTGACCTGCAGCAGGTGGCCCCTGAGGCCGCCGTGCGCCGCTTCCTGCAGGGCCGCCGCTGCGAGCACAGCGCCGACTGCACCTACGGGCGCGACTGCAGGGCCCCATGCGACAGGCTCATGCGGCAGTGCAAGGGCGACCTCATCCAGCCCAACCTGGCCAAGGTGTGCGCGCTGCTGCGGGGCTACCTGCTGCCCGGCGCGCCCGCCGACCTCCGTGAGGAGCTGGGCACACAGCTGCGCACCTGCACCACGCTGAGCGGGCTGGCCAGCCAGGTGGAGGCCCATCACTCGCTGGTGCTCAGCCACCTCAAGACCCTGCTCTGGAAGAAGATCTCCAACACCAAGTACTCCTGATGTGGCAGCAGGGGGCCCTGGCCAACCTTCCTGGAGCCGGCCTGGTGCCTGGTGCCGGGGTCCAGCCCCGCCTCTAGGAATCAGTCGGAAATGTTAAATGCTGTTGCAGAATCACTCCCCTGAGGTCAGGGCCCTGGACTCCACACCACAGACATGAGGACATCCTAGCTCAGAGCAGAGGCAGGAGACCCTGTTACTCTGAAGAACATGATGTAAATAAACAGCTTTTATGTAATGGCCAGGGCTGAGCACCCTGACCCCCGTCAATGCTGCGCATGGGACCCTTTGCCCCACTGTGGATACTACCTGGCCCAGGCACCCAGACTGGGGTTGGGACCCTGAATCCTGGGGAGGCAGCCCTCCAGTGTCAGTCAAAGGTGAGGTCTATTCTAGAGCCCCTGCCTGCCCTACACTGCTGAAGGTGCCAGGGCAGTTCCCCAAAAAGGAGCTTCTGAAGGAACCAATGACCAGGACCCCAAACCTGGACCATGGCACGACAGGCCAAGAAAAAGGCATTCTAGTGAAGCAGACTGATGTGGTGAAAACATTTTACAAAATCCAGCTCTGAGATGTAGAACTCACTCCCTGGGAAACAACCTCGCAATGGCCATCTTCTCCGGCCCTGTGCTCTCCCCAGTAGCCCAGGGAACCCAGCAACCATCCCCCAGGGGGACAGGCAAGGACCTGGGCGGGAAGACCCCAAAGCAGGAATACCGTTCAGTGCCGGCTCTGCTCCGCAATGGACGAGTCAAGACACTATACATTCCGTTCCAGACCCATTTATTCTCAAATTTTGCCAACACAGAAATGTTATCCTTGAGGAAATGTGCATTAAATCTTCTAATTCACTTCATCCTGTATTTTAAAATAAATGTTTTCCATGTAGATTTTTCCCCCTTGGGGAAAAAACAACAAAAACAAGATGACTCCAATACAGTAAAAAAATAACTAACTCAGGATCCTAGATTCCAGGCAGTTCAAAAATAGCCAAATGGTTCTTTCTTTCCACCAGAATACCACAATGGCAGAACTTAAGAATCGGGACACTAAAATGGAGGGGTGGTCCCGGCAGCTGCCCCCTGGCCGGTTGGAACACACAGCACTACCCAGGCAGAGGCGGTGGGCTTCCCGATGCCAGCCTGCCCATCCCTGGAATGAAAGCAGAGCAGGAGCTGCAACTGTGGCCCTGGGGGTAGGTGGGCGTGTGGAAAGCTGGGTTCTCAGGCTGCAAACACCCCGGGTGCCAGTTCCCAGGGGGAGTGAGGCCTGTACCTCTGTTCCAGCCAGCCTCCTGGCACAGGGCTGCGCCCACATCCCGGCCTCTGCACCTGAAAAATGAACAAGGACAGTGCCGCAGACCAGGTTTCTTTAACCTGGATTCACCAAATGACCTTCAGGGAATACAATTTATGAATTCCCTAAACTTTTTTTTGAGACAGAGTCTCGCTATGTTGCCCAGGCTGGAGTGCAGTGGTGTGATCTCAGCTCACTGCAACCTCCACCTCCCGGGTTCAAGCGGTTCTCCTGCCTCAGTCTCCCGAGTCACTAGGATTAAGAGCACACACCACCACAGCCGGCTACCTTTTGTGTTTTTAGTAGAGATGAGGTTTGAGGCTGTTGGCCAGGCTGGTCTCAAACTCCTGACCTCAGACGATCCGCCTGCTTCTACCTCCCAAAGTGGTGCAATAGTAGTAGTTTACAGTTATCTTTCCTGATACGACCTCATAGCGTTAAGTCCGACACTGGCACTGCTGACTTAGGGCACTCTTCACGGTGGGGCGCCCCAAGCATTGCAGGACATGCAGCTGCACCCCCACTCCCACCCATTTTGGGAAGAGGAATCCTGTTTCCAAAGTGACCCAGAGACACCTCCAGACCCCTACCCAGGGCCCTTGCTGTGTGCACAGGAATTGCACCCCACGTTGGTACTGCTGGACAGGGCACAGCCTGTCCATCCCAGCTCAGCTGGTCTTGGTCACACTTGCCCAAGGCCTCCCAGACAGACCTACGGAACCATTTCCAGAACGAGGCCCGGGAGTGGATCCACACTCACACCTCATTTATACATATCTATGCCTCAGGGTTCCCGGCAATGCTGCTGCCCCTCCCTCATGGAGCAAACCAGGTAAGGTGGTTTCCAGAGCGGAAACCCAAATGCGCCTGGCTTTGGCTTTGAGACATGTCAGGCTATAAACCATTCCCAGTGCTCACTGGCCCCGGAACACTGAGTGTAGAAATCGCCACTTTCTCTCTGCCCCGACGTCACAGGCACAGCAGAGCAACTGTCTGCAGTGCCGGCAGGTCCAGGACAGCATCTGCAGGGCAGCTGCTCACACCCACTCGGCAGCCAAGGAGGGAAGGAGGGAGGGCCAGCCTCAGCCTTGCCTCTTACCTTGATCCAGGCTGGGGCCGGTTGGCCTCGTCATTCTGGCCACTGCTCACACTGGAAGTCCATCACAGGCTAAGTCACCTCCTTCCTGTGTTAAAGAACAAGAATGCTTGGCACAGAATCAACACAACAAGGGACTGTTGTTACCGCTATTAACGGAAACATCCGTCCACTGTGATCCTGACATGGTGTGTGGCATGGCAGGCGGATCACGAGGTCAGGAGTTCAAGACCAGCCTGGCCAAGATGATGAAACCCCACCTCTACTAAAAGTACCAAAAATCAGCCAGGCATGGCAGCACGTGCCTGTAATCCCAGCTACTCAGGGGGGCTGAGGCGGAGGCTGCAGTGAGCTGAGATTGCACCACTGCACTCCAGCCTGGGTGACAGACTCCGTCTCAAAAAAAAAAAAAAAAAAAAAACTCACTAATGAAGGCTCTCCTGGTGAGGGCACCCTCTACCTTCCCACTGTCCCTTCAGACCTCTAGCGACCGGCGCGGCCAGCATGGCATGGCACGAGGGTGAGAAAGCCCACTCACAAGACCCAGCCTCTCCCCGATGCCAGTGCAGGAAAACAGATGCCCAGTCCACAAATCAGGAGTGTCAGACTATGAAACATTCAAACGTTCACGGGGCAGAACGCTGACCGTAGACATAGCCTCTCTAATCTCTGCCACCTATTGACACATATGTGACACAGCAGCCACATCTGCAACGCCTCTAGGGGCAGCATCAGGCTGAAGATGAAATGATTCCTTTTTATTCCCCTGGAGAGAGCGCTTCTAGCCGTAATATGAACGCAAGACCAACCGGTCCCTCCAGGTCCCTCCAGTCACAGAAGATGTCACGCTGGGTGCGGTGGCTCACGCCTATAATCCCAGCACTTTGGGAGGCCGAGGCGGGTGGATCACGAGGTCAAGAGATCGAGACCATCCTAGTCAACAAGGTGAAGCCCCGTCTCTACTAAAAATACAAAAATTAGCTGGGCATGATGGTGCGTGCCTGTAATCCCAGATATTCGGGAGGCTGAGGTAGGAGAATTGCTTGAACCCAGGAGGCGGAGGTTGCAGTGAGCCGAGATCGCGCCATTGCACTCCAGTCTGGGCAACAACAGTGAAACTCCGTCTCAAAAAAAAAAAAAAAAAAAGTCACATAGCAGGGCTTAGTTACAAAGGGCAGAGGGCGCGGCGGTTACGAGGGGTTACCCTGGTCCAGCACCAACTTACCCAACACCCCAGCACCCCTCGCACGTGTGTTTCCAGTGAGCAGATGTCCTAGAGAAAAATAAATCCCAATTTTGTACAAATCTTGCAAACACCACAGAGGGACATCATACAAAGACTGTTTTTTGGGAGGCCGAGGCAGGCGGATCACTTGAGGTCAGGAGTTCAAAACTAGCCTGGCCAACGTGGTAAAACCCGGTCTCTGGTAAAAAATTAAATAAAAAAAAAAATTAGCCGACGTGATGGCTGGCGCCTGTAATCCCAGCTGCTCGCGAGACTGAGGCAGGAAAATCGCTTGAACCAGGGAGGCAGAGGTTGTAGCTAACCGAGATCGCGCCATTGCACTCCAGCCTGAGAGACAGAGCAAAACTCTGTCTCAAAAAAGAGAAAAAAAGACAGATTTGCTGCATCTGATCTCCAGGAAGGCGGACCAAAGGTCCCTGCCACCAAAAGCTCCCTGTCTTAAGGGCCATTCTAGAACAATCCGACTCATGTTACTCCCTCCGCTTACTCTCTGCTTACTCTGCAGGAGGGGAAGTTGAGTCACAACAATGGCCACGGAACGCTGATCCCCTGCAGGTGTCCAGGGACCAGGACCACGAGGCGGATGCCCACCAAGGACAGGCGCGCACCTGTCCTGTAAAACAGTCTTTGGTCCGGCGGTCACCGGACTCCTTCCGCCACGACAGCCTCCCGCTGGGCGGCCGGTCACACGGAAACACCCGACGCGTGGACACAGCACGAGAAATCCATTTCTCGAAGATGCCGACACTCGCGGCGACGTCCCCAAAGCCTCCGCGACTCGGGGGCGCAGCAGCAGGGGCGGAAGGGGCGCGGGCGAGCGGGCCGCTTTCCGCTTAGGTCCGAATTCGCGCACTGGACTCTCACCAGGCTTCCCGAAGCTTCCTGGCTGGAAACGGCGCGGGGAGGGACACAGCACGGCGCCTCCTCCGGGGCCCAGTCCCGCGTCCCGCGGCCAGGACGCCCCAGGTCAGCGCCCGCCCCCGCCTCGCACCCGGAGCCCCCACCCGGCAGCAGAGCCCCCTCGAGCGCGCCGCGCCCGGGAGAGCGACGCTGCAGGGCGGTAGCCGGGGAGCGGGCTGGGAAGGGCCCGGGAGAAGGCGGCGAGGAGCGCACCCGCCATGGCAGCCGGCGGCGCGCGCAGAGGTCGGGGGAGGGCGCGCCGCGCCTTTTATAGCGCCTACGGCGGCCCGTGAGGGTCAAGCCTCCCCGCCGCGCCCGCCCGAGCCGCCGCGGCCCCGCTCCCCGGCCCCCGGAGCCCCCGCTCTCCCTGCACCCCCGCTCCCCGTGCCCGCAGGTGGGCGCAGCTCCGCGGCTGGCGGGTGGCGCGTGGGTTCGCCACGCAGAGCAGCGGCAGCGTCGTGACCCGTGTCCTGCTCCGCGACCGCCCCACGGAGCCCGCCGCGGGGGCCGGGCACGCCGCGGACACGCGCGGCTCCCCGTGTTGGCGACGGCTCCCCAGGCCGGGTCGGGGGCACGCTCCGCGAGCGCGTGGGTCCCGGAGGTGAGACTCCGGCTCCGCGGGTGGCGCTGCAGCCGCCCGCCCTCCGGACCTGGCGCGGGCTCGAGGCTGGCGGGAGCCGGGTCGGACCCCGGGAGCGGCTGAGGCTGCCCCGCGGCGGCTGCGGATCC